ACACTATGCTTGTGCAGCATTCGGGGCGGCGAGGTGATAGGTGACCTGGAGGTGGTGACCAAACTGAGCACGTATATGTTTACTGTGACCAGTACCTCGCCAACCACCGCCTTCGTCCTTGACCTTAAGAACCTGGAGAGACTTGTGGGCAGGCGGAACCAGGTCACCATGGAAGTGATGAAGGAGACAGCCACGGTGAGAATTTCAAATTTGTAACGGAGTGTGGAGATACACCTCGCTGGCAAGCGTTCAGCTGTTCTAAGCCTAGAAAGAAACTCTCTTCAGTAGTTGAAATAAATATATTAAAATATGAACTTTACCAATTTTTATGTTAAAAATACCCAAAATATGCTTCTTTTCTGCCATATTCTAATTTGGGGTTATTCAAGGTAAAAGGTGTACATCAAAGTTGGACAAGAGAAATCTAACATCTCAACCGTGGATGAATAATACGATTTTTTTTTAAATTGTTGATTTGACATTTATTTTCCTGTTTAATATTTAGCTCTGTCTCTTCTTACACTTTATGGGGTCACATTGCCCAATGTCTCAAGCTACCAATCCGTATTCTTTATTCTGGATCGATTGATTTATTTCCCCCCCTGTAGTGATTGCTTAAAAGTGAGGGGGGGGGGGTGACGTAGCTAAAACGGTGGCAAACTTTGTTATAAATTAATGAAACTTTGAGGAAATGACACAGACAATACAACCATGGTATGACTTCTTCCCTTATGGCGTGACTGAAACATCCCCCATGAAAACGGGTTCCCTTGCAGCGATGGACATATTTAGGCTTTATTAAAGTGTCAACAGACTTTCAAGATTTCAATTTCACTATGTCAAGCTGAGAAACAAAAATATTGCCAAGCGACTGAATTGTAATTTCTACGTTATAGTTGTTTTTGGCAGTCGTCTTAACTTATTATTTTTGCAAGTGGGCAAGCAAACAAACAGAAAATCGTATTTACATACTTTGCAAATCCTTTGCTTTACGTGAAATAGTTTTAGTTGTTGTATTGCTTTACATTATATCACAATCTTGGAAACTTTTAATTAAAGAAATTAATAGCAGAAGTATACTCTAGAAAATCCTTGAAATAACAATGGGTTGGAAAGAAGGGGACCTGTGTTTCGAGAACACAAATTTTAATAATAAAAAAGAGTACACAAATTTTGTTGAATTAAACGATTAAAATTCAAAATATTTTCAAACAATGCCCTACACAAAAAGAGGATTCTGGACACCCTGGCATCGTATGACACCTTTAACATTACGCTACCCTATCATTAAAACATTCTCTGCTTAGTATCTAGTTTTCAGAATCTAGACGTAAAACATTTTGATTTTCAAATGTAAATCTTTGAATATCTTGATAACGACTGCCAATAATCTTATGATTTTGATAGAGCAGATGCAACATTTGGTATTTGACCTTATGGTCTGAGTAACGCAAAACGGCCAAAAATGTCAGATAGAAGTATGTGATTTTAAGGGAGCTAGTAGAGGGGCAAAGTCTTCTTTTGTCTTGTGTAACTAAAGGGGTCATCAATACTGCAGTAATGAAACAAAGCGATGTTTTCTTTCTCTGAAACAAATATTATTATAATACGCTTTGGCCAACGTATCGATCGCTCATTGATATCATGATCTGCTCGGGTGTGGGTATGATTTTAATTGTAAATGTTGTCATGCTCCCATTGACACTTTTTACACAATTTTAGAAGCGGGCTGCTTCGACCGTGTCTATAGGGCTATCCAGGGGTGAGATAGATGCACCGTCCCGGCAGAAAGACGAAGGCATTCGATAAAAGTTGTATCTACACTAACATTGTACTGGAAACTCATGTCTTCGCGGTGTGACGGCGAAACGCCTAACCCATACACTATAGACATCAGTATAGAATGAGTGGCCCAAGTTTGACTTGCATTCTCAAACCTGCTCTATTTAGGGAACAAAGGTAAGTCTGTAACAACCTCACCGTATTGAAAGAGACGTTAAACCCGACTATCAGCAATTACTGACGTACCTGAATATTGTCCCAAATGTTTCTCTTTTAAGTCGTTGTACGGTTACCTCCATATTATGCCCCTATACATTTTAAAAACAAACTAAAGTTTTGCACCGTTAGGAACGTGCTTGGTATTTTAGGCTTATAATTTTAATTATCTCCGTGTGTCTTCGGTTGTAGTTTTAGTAAGCGTTTTACGGCATTTGCAACACGTTTCGGCCATATAAGTGCCAAAGATTAGATGAATTTCAAAAAAGTAACAAACGAAAACAAGAAGGAGGAGAGATAAAACACAGTAGATGTTCGACTGAAAAGAAAGAGTGCACCACACCAGAGCACCTGCATACCACCTACAACGTTGGTCTAACTTCCATCAAAGTTCTCTTAACATAATATGTACTATCAAACTGTCTCTACAGAATGTACATCATCCTTCGAGGTGTCTGTCTCGTTTACATTGACGCCAGCCTTACAGGAGAGGAGGACCCGTTCCAGGCCTCGTCGCCACCCCCTCAGCTCCCCAAAGACCCTGCTGCTGCTGCTGGTGGTGCTGCCAACGGATCGCCCGAACCAAGGAAGGCTAGGTCAATAGACCGCTCCAAATATGGCAAATTTATAATGAGATATGGTAAGAATATAATTTTACTGAAAATACACTGTTTGACCTTTTCTTACTCTTCTTTTTCTTTTCTTCTTTCGGTTCTTTTGATTACATTCTTTGTATTTCTCTTTAAGCTCTTACAATGATTTGAAGGCATACATTTTCCCAACATGCACAGGGTAGGAAATTTGTGTAGACTGGTAATTGCTTGTTTCCTTTTCAGCAACCGTGTAATCACAATATTCTGACTTATTAGAGGAGATTATACAAGTAAATAAAAGACCAGAATGCTGTCTAATTTATTGATATTTTCAAACCTTTTTTTGAAATGCCAATGCCCATACTGTAAAATCCTCCGTCTGTGGTTCAGCAGTTAGGCGCTTCGCTGTCTCACAAAGGAGAACCAAGTCGATTCCGAAGTGGGGACAATTTAAAAAAATCGAATAATTTGTTTTTTCCTTTGGATTTTGTATCCCTCTCCTGTTTGGTCGGGTTGACTCGGAAGCCAGCTTCCTAAAATTCTAAATAGCGTGATAGGGGCGTAAAAACACCTACATTTAAAAAGGCAGTAGAACAGAAGTACCCTCACTCATTAATCACCATCATCTTCTCTCTTTCTCTGTCTCTCGCTTTCTTCTCTCTTTCTCTCTCTCTCAACCTCTCGCATTCTCTCTCTCTCTCTCTCTCTCTCTCTCTCTCTCTCTCTCTCTCTCTCTCTCTCTCTCTCTTCCACGTTCCCTCTCACCTCTCCTTTCAATATCTCCTCAGAGTCTGGCAAAAGTTTCGGCGAGGCTGCCCTGCTCTGTGACGACAAATCCCGCAATGCCACGGTCCTTGCTGATGAAGACTGTGATCTTTTAGTTCTTGACCAGGCGCTCTTTGATAAGGCACTAAGGGTAGGTCAATTCCATTCTGGGTATTGACGATTGTGTCACAAGACATTAGCATTAACAGATTACATGCATACAGCGCTTTGACCTATACAGCTATTAGCTTTGGGCGCTTTACATGGATAACAAGATTATTAAGAATAAAACTACCTCAACCGTACATAATTACATGCGTAAAGAGATAGCAGTGAAAAAAGACGTATCAGCACATGATAACACACCTAAGATAAGATATTTAAAAGGCCTTATTCAGCAACAGCAAATATATTATTTTTGCTTTGATTCTTGGGAAAATTGAGCTTCAATTACAGAGGTAGACAAACAAACATGGAGACATTATAAACAATCATTTACAGTTGCACAACTTCCCCGAAAGCAGATCGGGGGATATAACCCAAGAGCCACTCCTAAATAAGGAATTAATGCAACATTTGCTCTAGTGTGGCTAAATATCTATAGCTTGTATTTTCCTTCTTTGCTATGTATGTTACTCTCTAGATCTAGCAACACTTCTTCTAACTTTTGGCACTTAAATGACGATTTGTGATGCAAGTGCCGTAAAACCTTCACTTTAACTATTGAACTTGAAAAAAGCCAAAATCTCAACAAAAAGATGGGTTGAATCTTTTCACTTTTCTCCGTACTATTTGCCTTAGGTTTAACCCTCTACTGTTTAAGGGTAGTTATCAGAGGATGGAGACAGGGTCCTCCGCAGTAGTAAAAGGCCGATTAAAATACTGTTGTCTCTCTTTGTGTTCTATCCATTTTTTGTTCTGTCGTTTAGGTATGTAGAACTCAGTTGAAAAGACGTCTAGTTCGCACTGGCTCTCAGTATTTCTTCTGTTTGTTTTATGTTTTTGTTATTCGCCTTGTTCATCTCTCCGCAAAGGTAATTTTCATATACCTAAACTCTGAAAGACAAAACCCCTCCCCTATATCATGATTTATCTGTCAGTAATAAATCATGTTCCTGTGACTATATTCCCTAGCACTACATCTATCGATCAGTCTTTGGTACTGTGTCTCTCACTATTAGCCTCTCTCATTTTGCAGGCAAAAATACCCTCATGATGAGTAGTTTACACTTTATTATAGTGTTTATCACATTTTGTCTTACCGCTTCTTTCTTTATTTCTTTCGTTGTTTCTTTCATTGTTTCTTTCTTTCTTTCTTTGGTTCTTTCTTTCTTTCTTTCTTCTCTCCGTATGTGTCTGCCTCGTTGTTTGCTTGGTTTTGTTTTTGCTCTTCTTGCTGTTGCTATTTATGTTGTTGTTGTTGAATTTGTTGTGGTTAGCAGAGCTTTTAAATGTACACAATATGATAGTGGCAACATTCCAGGAGATGTGATTAAGTCATTAAAAAATAGGTTTTCCTAATTCACTCAATGTGTTAGACTGAGCTGTATAACAATTCCTCCAGGGCCATTTCACTAAACTCAAAATGCAAACACCTGCGGGAAGAATCAGAAAAAGTCTATAAACAGAAAAATCGAAAACGCAAATCCTGACAAGGGTACCAGAAATATTATATTTACCCCAGTAATCTTAATGGGTTGACGTATTGAAGTGCACAGAACTCTTTATTAATTCTTCATTAATTATACAAATGAAGCCCTAGACACAGATGGAAGGGATCTAATACTTATTAGAGATTTATGCTGTGATCAAAATACAACCATAAACATTGAGGGAGACGACAGTGAATATAATCAGTTTAAAGGGGAGTTAGGCTAGGGTGTGTTATGTCACCAGAAATGCACAGTGAAACAATTCTTTGAAATATAGACAAATGTCCATGTCTCAAACTGAGGGAATAATATCAGATGTGATGACGATACTTATGTGATTGCAGATATTCTGGGAAAAGACCTTCAGTATTCTTTCTATGTTGTGATGGAAGGTGAAGGCATAGGATTACCTTTTGAACGAACAGAAAAGAGAAGGCATTGTATTTTTTTAAAAATAATAAATTATATTTCTGATCTCATAAGCATAAATGGAAAAATCAAACAACTTCATCAACGGTCCAAACTATATGATATATGTACGAGTGATTGTTATCCGATGCCAAATGTTCCACAGAGTTCAAACGGAGAATTGCAATAGCCAACGACAGTTCCAATAAAATGAGTGCATTCCTGAAAAATAGAAGCATCACAATAACTGCCACAATAAAAGTTCCAAAAGGACATGTGTCGTCAAACATGTGGTTTCTTGCGAAATTGTAGAGAATTCCATAAAGGGGAAAAAATTAATTGGGAGAGCGCTGAAAGATACCAGTGTTGCTCATAAATAAGAACAATTACGAACTGTCTAAATGCAGTTTCTATGAAACTGTAATCGACAAAAAGACCTTGGAAATCTGTGTATAACCGGGGAATAATTTGAAGGCAAGCGAGGTTGCATAGACCCAGAGCAACCTGCTTGGAAAACCTTAAGGATGGAAAACGAGGAGAGACCAGGATTATGCATGTACGAGGGGAACATCAAAAGTTTTTTAAAACTTACCTAGAAGGAATAAAAGTAGAAAGCTGAGATTTGGTACTAACCTTAATCTTTCTCTATTTAGTCCCATCCCACAGTTATACATTTTGCCAAAGGTGTTTGACATTGAAAAGACCTTGAGAATAGAAGACCCTCTCGTTTTCAGAAAAACTAGCCCTCTATTGCTTCTTTGACCTCACCATCACTTCCCTTCTAAATCCTTTTTTAAGTTTGGTGAATAAAAGAAAGGCGGACGATGCTAGATCTGGAGAACAGAGTAGATGTAGCAAAAGTTCATAGCCAGATCTGCAGCTTTTCTTGAAGTGTGTGCTGACACGTTGTCGTGAAGCAGCAAAATGCTTTTTCGGATCTTTCCTTTGCGCTTTTCTCTTATAGCCTCTCATTCATTCTTTTTATCTGGTTAGAATAACGGTCTCCTCCAGAGATCGTATGTACATTTTCAAGTATTCTGCCATGATCACTCCTTCGTGATCCACTCAAAAAACTGATAACATAACTTTTTCACTTAATGGCTGCACCTTTGCTTTCTCGGTGTTGGAGACGAGGACGATTTCCACTGCATTGATGCGGATTTTGACTCTGGACCATAGCGGTGGACCCATGTCTCATTCTTGATTACAAGTCTTTCCAAAAATTTACTTTTATTGTTTTCATACTGACTAAGCAATTCTTCACAATCATGGACTCGTTGTCTGCTGTGATGTTGTTTTCTTTTTTTAGCTCAGGTCAGCTTTGTCTGGAAGGGTTAAAGCAGCCAGTCCCCCAATCAATATGCCCGTTTCAATGACGGCGTAACATCTTTAAGATATTAATACAGAATAAATCTACACTGCATACGCAAAAACACTCACTCATGTACATGAATAAAATAGTTTTACACACAAATATAAACATACTCCCATCCTTTTTCTCCGTCTGCCCCACTCCCCCCCTCTCTCTCTCTCTCTATCCCTCTCTCTCTCTCTCTCTCTCTCTCTCTCTCTCTCTCTCTCTCTCTCCGCTCTCTCTCTCCCTCTCTTTCATTCTTTTTTTCTTTCTTTCTCTCCCTAGTATACCCACGAAAGTGCACTCGCACTTATCGTTCTGCAAAACGATAACGCTGTCTTTCTTCACCACCCCATCCCAACTCCTTTATCTTCACTCACAACTACTCCCTGTAATCCTTCACTTTCCACTCCCACGTTATTGCCCAATGCCATCTCTCACCAATGTCACCCACATTATCCAGGCAGAACAAGAGCTGGAGTACGCAGAGGTCTGTCACTTTGTAGAGAATCACCCATATTTCCGCCACATGTCACCCAAGTTCAAACGGCTACTGGAGCTGTCTCTCCGGAAAGACACATTTCCCTTTGACTCGGTGATGACCCAACAGGGAATGCCTGTGACCTCTTTGATATTTATTCTCAAGTGAGTCAAAAGGACGGAAACTGACAGGTGCATTTTGCTATTTAAAGTTTAAAAAAGACAAATTGCAAAGGTTAGTTTTGTTGGGAAAACCATCACAGAAAGAGAAAGAAAGAGAGAGAAAGAGAGAGAATAAGATATAGATAGATAGATAGATAGATAGATAGATAGATAGATAGATAGATAGATAGATAGATAGATAGATAGATAGATAGATAGATAGATAGATAGATAGATAGAGAGATAGAGAGACAGAGAGAGACAAAGAGAGAGAGAGAGAAAGAGAGAGAGAGAGAGAGAGAGAGAGAGAGAGAGAGAGAGAGAGAGAGAGAGAGAGAGAGAGAGAGAGAGAGAGAGAGAGAGAGAGGTATTACCTATGTGATTTTGGGAGAGAGACGGACAGACAGTTACTTATTCATTCTCTCCCTGTACCATCAGGCACACAATACAAATCAGACACAAAGGCAGAAAGAAGTCGTCGCCACAATAGTCCGTCAATGGCCACTTCTATATCTTTGGCACGTCTAGGCCTTGGGCGATTGCCTGATTATGCCTTTGTATATCCCAATCGGTGTACATCTTTATGTTTCCAATTGGCCTCTTAGGTCTAAAGCCTACTTGTTTGTCTCTCAATGTTTCTGCTCCCATCTATAGCAGTTTGGATGCTTGACAGACAGACGACAAAAAATAGAAAAAAAGTAGTGTGAGTGAGTGAGTGAGTGAGTGAGTGAGTGAGTGAGTGAGTGTGTGTGTGTATGTGTTGTGTGTCTGTGTGCGTTTGTTTTTGACAGAGAGACAGACAGACAGACAGACAGACAGACAGAGTGGGAGTACAGAGAGAGACAGAGAGAAAGAGAGAGAGAGAGAGAGAGAGAGAGAGAGAGAGAGAGAGAGAGAAAGAGAGAGAGAAAGAGAATGGAGAGAGAGAGAGAGAGAGAGAGAGAGAGAGAGAGAGAGAGAGAGACAGAGAGGGGAGTGGGGGTGAAGAGAAATATAGAAATAAGAAAGTGAAAAAAGATGGGGGGTAGATATTAAGTTATGACACAGACAAAGAATGAGATTAAAAGGAGTGAGTTAAACAAGAAAAAAAAAACCTGTATAAATTGACTAGATTTGTAATTATCAGTGCGTAGAATCACACAACTTGGTAAATAAGCATTCTTTTCCTTTGGCACTCAGGGGTCAGGCAAATATGTATTTGGAACCACATGCCTATCAGAAACAGTACAGTCACTTGTGGCCCTTCGAAGCAGGAGTGGACCTGTATTCCCATGAGTTCGAATGGCTTAGGTAAGTAAACAGTAGAGTTCTTCCTGAATAAAAGCTGGAAAACATCATGTGTGGTGGAAGTTATGAATCTACGTGCAACAGGAAAAGAACAATCGATGTAGGACCAGTCTAAACAAAATTGTAGTACATAAAGGCCAGGGACTCATAATAAAATGTACGACCCCCTCCTCAACACTAACATACACACAAAACGTACAAACAATCAAACAAGCTAATACAAAATAAATCAAAACCAAAAGAAAACAATTTAAGAAACAAAGAAACAAAAAACAACAACAACCCCAAAACAAATAGGTAAGTCCCAGAACTTTTCTGAAAGAAAGTTAAATAAAAGCTAATCTACTTTAAGTACTGTCTACTTTCCTTTAAGGGACTATCTCAATTTGCACGTTTGTGCATCTGTATGTGCTCTCTCGCTTCTTTCTTATTTTGTCTCTTAATTGATTAAAGAATCCCCCCCCCCCCCGCCCTCACTATAAAACATCATTTCATTTACTTGCGTGATGTGCATTCCGTTTCCTCAAAAGATAAATTCATGAGCAATAACGATAATGACTGAGGTCGTTGTTTGCAGAGAATCCCGGCGGAACAACATTTTGAGGAAATACGAAGATCCGGCCGTGTGGCCTACCAAGTCGGAACATCTGGTGGTCAAGCGGACGGAAGGATACGCAGCTGCTGAAAAACGTGTGCAGGTATGTGTGCCAAATTAAGGCTGTCGGACTCGCAATCGTGAGGTAGTGGGTTCCCATTCCGTCAGTGGCTCGACGTTGTGTTCTTTAGAAAGGCACTTAACACGAATTTTCCTCACTTCACTCAGGTGAAATTGGGTACCCAGGTATAGACAGTGAAAGATCTTGTCAGTTTGTTAGTATTTGAGCGCTTGGAATCTGCAGCTTTTTCTGTGTTCTTCTCGGGAAGCCGACAATTTTTCTAAGCATTCTAGGGTCTGCTGGGGAAATATTTGCTGTAAAGCAGATAGAACATGCTGTAGAGCGTGGATATGCGGTAAGTAAGTGCAATTATTATTAATAATGCTTATTATTATCATTATTATTAAAGTATTATTATTATTATTATTATTGTTATTATTATCATTATTATTATTATTATTATTATTATTATTATTATTATTATTATTATTATTATTATTATTATTATCATTATCATCATTATCATTATTCATCAGCAAGCGTACAGAAATCGTGAACACAATGTCTGCGTCCACTTTGTAAATGGTTGGTTTTAACTTTTTTTGGTACGTTGATCTTGATGTACACTATCTCTTCTATTGTGTTGCCATTGCTCACTTCTTGTGTACTCTACCACTTACTGTTACAGTGGCTCAAGGTTCAACACGTAGTGAACACTATCAATAACTATTCTGTGTCACTGTCCGCCTCTGGTATCCAACATTTCACTTATTATAGCGTGTCAAGGTTCACCACGGGTGCAGTCTTACTTACTATGGTGTGTTATGTCTCACCCTAGAAAGTTGGAGTGCTAGAAGTTTCTCATGATTTTCAAGTTAAGAAATTTGAATGTTATGATTTTTGCCTTGAAACCATTTTCTTTTTGACTAAAGAAGGTATGGGAAACATATCCACAGATTACAAATATTCGTCGTTTTGTGAGATAAGACTGTGGTTTATGTTCTCGTTGTGCGTTCAACTTTGGTCCCAACGCTAATTTGTTCCTGTTCAATTACGAGTACTTGGCTCGTCGTATCTTTGTCTTTTCCCCGAGAAGGCTGTCATTTATTTGAGGCTACCCCCCACCCTTATCCAGACACAGATTAAAATACACAGGAGAACAAAGGAGAACAAGGACTGATTACACATTATAGCACCCCTTCCAAATTAATCGAAAGGAATGGTTTCAAAAACCCGTATAAGAATTCAAAAATTGTGCTACGTATGTATGACAGAAGATACAGCCACACAAAATATGTTATTGACGCCCTCCCCTTTTTCCACAAAAAGCAAACAAAAAGCTGCGAAACCCCACAAATTACTAATGAAAACAGTTTAACCCACAAAAGAAGGAAATCACAATTACATAACAAAACAAACAATAAAACAAATAAACCAACAAACAAACACACAAATAAACAAACAAACAAAAACCCCAACAATTGTTAACCTTTCAAGAAAATTTGAACAAGCTAGGAAGTCATAACATATTTTTTGTTACTATTAATACTATCAGTATCGTCACTATTTATAGTATGCCACACTATTCTCTAACAACCCCCCTCCCCCCCAAACCCCAAATCACTTCCCCATGCACTGCCCTCTCCCCCCCCCCTCAACCTCCAAATCACTTCCCCATACACTGCCCCCCTACCCCCCCCCCCCCAACCTAAACATCCCAGGATCGCACACTATGCTTGTGCAGCATTCGGGGCGGCGAGGTGATAGGTGACCTGGAGGTGGTGACCAAACTGAGCACGTATATGTTTACTGTGACCAGTACCTCGCCAACCACCGCCTTCGTCCTTGACCTTAAGAACCTGGAGAGACTTGTGGGCAGGCGGAACCAGGTCACCATGGAAGTGATGAAGGAGACAGCCACGGTGAGAATTTCAAATTTGTAACGGAGTGTGGAGATACACCTCGCTGGCAAGCGTTCAGCTGTTCTAAGCCTAGAAAGAAACTCTCTTCAGTAGTTGAAATAAATATATTAAAATATGAACTTTACCAATTTTTATGTTAAAAATACCCAAAATATGCTTCTTTTCTGCCATATTCTAATTTGGGGTTATTCAAGGTAAAAGGTGTACATCAAAGTTGGACAAGAGAAATCTAACATCTCAACCGTGGATGAATAATACGATTTTTTTTTAAATTGTTGATTTGACATTTATTTTCCTGTTTAATATTGTGTTTTTGTTAATAATCATCATCATCATCATTGCCTTTCTCACCCTGCACCAGGGTATAGGCCACGGACAAACACCCCCCACTTTTCTCTATCCTGGGCTAGCCTCTTGATGTTATTCCATGTCTTCCCACTTTTCTGTACATCGATTTCTGTGATTCTTCTCCAAGTTCCACGAGGTCTTCCCCTTGATCTCTTGCCCTGTGGGTTCCAATCCAAAACTTTCTTTGTTATGCAGCTGCCTGACTTCCTGAGAGTATGTCCAATCCATCGCCACCGCCTTCTTCCTACCTCATCTCTGACTGGGATATGTCTTGTTTTCCTTAACACTTCCACATTGGTGACCCTGTCTGTCCATCTGATCCTCAGTAACTTTCTTAGACACCTGTTCAAGAAAACCTGGATCCTCTTTATACAAGTCTGCTATGCGTTCCATGCCTCACATCCATACAACAGGACCGACTTCACGTTTGAATTGAAAATCCTCAGCTTTGTTCGAAGTGAAATCTCTCTGGTCTTCCAAATCCTATCCAAAGATATGAAAGCAGCCTGTGCTTTTCCAATGCGGGACTTTATTTCAGCACCTGTTCCTCCCTCTCTGTCTATTATGCTCCCAAGATAACAGAAGGATTCAACGTTTTCTAGGGCCTTTCCTTTTATTGTGACCTGCTCCTTTCGTTGTGCATCTGTCCTTAGTACCTTTGACTTTCCGGGGTGGATCCTCAATCCAACAGACTCCGATAGGCTGTTTAATACTGAAGTCTTTGCTTGTATCTGTTCCTGGGTGTGCGACAGAAGCGCCAAGTCGTCTGCGAATCCAGATCGTCCAACTGTGTCCATGGTGTCCACTGTATACGATTTCTGTGTCGTCTGGTGGTTTCCTTCATCAGCCAGTTGATTGCCAATATGAAGAGGAACGGTGATAGTAAGCATCCCTGTCTCACTCCAGTCTTGATGTCAAAGCTGTCTGTGAGCTGGCCATCATGTACAACCCTGCAACTTGTCCCTTCGTACATGCTTTTGATGAGGTTCACCAACTTCTGTGGGATTCCGTGGTGTTTCATTATCTTCCATAGTGTCGCTCGGTCTATACTGTCAAAGGCCTTCTCGTAGTCAAGGAAGTTGACAATCAGCTGGGAGTTCCACTCCAGGGACTGTTCCACAATAATCCTCAGCGTGGCAATCTGGTCGGTGGTTGAGCGATTTTTCCGAAAACCGGCCTGTTCATCCCGTAGTCTTGGATCCGTTCCTGTCTTGATTCTTTCCAGAACGATTCTGTTGAAGACCTTACCTGGTATTGAGAGAAGAGTGATCCCTCTATAGTTGCTGCAGTTGCTGAGATCCCCCCTTTTTGGAAGCTTCACGAGGTGTCCTTCTTTCCAATCCTTTGGGAACTTGCTCTCATTCCAGATCCTGGTAAACAGTGGGAATAGGATGTCTGCCGTCACATTGGCAACTGCTTTTAGGGCTTCAGGTGAAATCTGGTCAGGACCGGCCGCTTTACCTTTGTTCAGCTTCTTATTGGCATCCAAAATCTCTTGTTTTGATGGAGCATCACAGCAGATAGGTAACTCATTTCTTGCTGGCAGTATTTTTAGTGGGTTACTCGGTGGTGGTCTGTTCAGGAGACTGTTGAAATGCTCTACCCATCGCTTAGACTGAGCTTCCTTTCCAAAAATGCTTTTCCCATCTTGGTCCTTTACAGGTACTTCAGGTTTCCCATATTTTCCAGCAAGTGTCCTTGTGGTCTGATAAAGGATTCGCATGTACCCTCGTATCGCTGCTTCCTCTGCCTTCTCTGCTAGCCTGTTTATGAATTCCTCCTTGTCTTTTCTTATTGATTTCTTGACATCTTTAGCTGTTGTCCTGTACTGTTCCACTACATCCGCTTTTGCTCCTCTTGTTCTACTTGCATTCGCTTCTGCCTTCAGTTGTCTTCTTATCCTAATTAGATCCAAAGAGTGTTGGCTAATCCATTCCTTGTGCTCCCATTTCTTCCCATCAAGTACTTCTTGACATGTTGATGTAAAGACTTCTTTGACCTTGGTCCAGTGTGTATCCACCTCCGTGTCCTCCCCGTCAAGATCAGCCAGAGGTTGGAATCTGTTCCTCAGCTGCAGTTGAAACTCTTCTTTCATGTGTCCGTCCAAGAGACTTACTTGGAACTTGGTTCTTTTGATTCCTGTGCTGGTTCCGTGCTTTTTGAGTCGTAGCTTCAGTTTTGCCAACAGCAGATGATGATCCGATCCAACATCTGCCCCTCTCTGTACTTTGACATCTTCCATTGAACGCCTGAACTTACGAGAGATACAAAAATGATCTATCTGGTTCTCCGTCACTCCATCTGGCAAAACCCATGTGGCCTTGTGGATCCTCTTGTGGGGAAAAACAGAGCCTCCAATAACAAAACTGTTGAAAGCACATATATTTGCGAATCGCTCCCCGTTCTCATTCATTTGTCCCAAGCCATGTTGTCCCATAATTCTTTCATACCCAACGTTGTCCTGACCAATCTTGGCATTGGCATCTCCCATTATGATGTTGACATCCTTCCTTGGTAGTTTGTCGATGACCCCCTGGAGCTGGCTGTAAAAAGCATCCTTGTCTTCATCTGAAGCATCATTTGTTGGGGCGTAGATCTGTACTATATTCATGTTGATGTTCTTGCTCCTTGTAGTGAATGAAGCCATGATGATCCTTTCCCCGTGTGGTTCCCATCCTCTAAGTGACTTCTGTGCATACTTACTCAAAATGATTCCCACTCCCTCCGCATGGTACTTATCTTCCCTCCCTGAATACAATACTTGTGCCCCCGAGCTGAGCTGCTTCTGTCCAGACTGTATCCAGTGTGTTTCGCTGACTCCTAGTATGTGCAGCCTGTATCTCTTCATCTCTTGTACAACTTGAGAACTCTTTCCTGCTTCATACAGGGTGCGAACATTCCACGACGCAATCCGGAGAGACTTGTTCGACAGAGAAGGTTTCGGGTCAGAAGAGTCCTTTCGGCTTTGTCCGCTGTCCTTCATTGTTCCTGCTGATACAGAAGCTCCTCCGTCTCCCAAGATCGAAGAATAAAAAGTTGTGTTTGTCCGTGTTTCTGTAACTTACTGTTTTTTACTAGGTTGGGTAGTTGGCCCTCCGCAAACTGGCACTTTTCGGGCGACCGGACCTATGCACTTTAAGTCGCCTCTTACGACACGCAGTATCACGGCAGGTGTATTCTTTGCTCCCCCATAGTAAAACTACGGGGCCCCCCACCAGCAGGGGAGTTTGTTAATAATATCCCCAGTGAAATATTTACAAATGGAGATAAATCCGACGCGTTTCGTCTTTTGCACTCCTTAACTTAGTTGGTTCCGAACATGTCCTCTGAAGTTTGTGTATTGCGTTAAAAAAAATAATGTGATAACATCACACCAACCCATCACCCTACAAACACTTTACATAATATGTACCAATAAAACATTCTTAGGTCGTTCAGAGAAGGAAAGAACATCTATTTGACCCAAACCATTAATGAACTATACATTTTATGGATAGCTTACGATTTCGAATTATTGTTTCCTGAAGTGAAATGACTTATCCAGATATAAAAAGTATAGACTTCGAATCCCCGGTATTGTTTAAAAAGACGTTCTCATTGCATCTTTTAGCTGGAGTCATTTTTTGGGGTTTGGGGGGAGGGGGGGGAGGGTACCGTCTTGATCAATGTCATTTCAGTAAAACTTAAAAGAAAATGAGTGTGAAGAGAGTGAGAGAGTAAGATAAAAATAGAGAAAGAGGGAGAAAGATAGTCAGTTAGAGAAAGAGAGAGAGAGAAAGAGAGAGACAAAGAGAGAGAGAGAGGAGAGAGAGAGGAGAGAGAGAGAGAGAGAGAGAGAGAGAGAGAGAGAGAGAGGGGGGGGGAGGCAAGAAGTGAGTGAAAGGATTACTATTAGAACTATGTTCTCTGTATTATGGTAAGGCATTATTAATCACTCTCCTAGTAGAAACGTGCCATATACCCGCAGTCTGGTTCTGTTATCTATTTATTAAGTTGCATGAGGAAAACTAATTTCGGCGATTAACCATTGACAAATCAACAACGTGTCCATAAACTCTCGTGTGTCACCACTTATCTTATAGAATCGTTATGCTCAGACTTAGTAGGTCTAGAGAGATAACAGCACTTTCTTATCCCTGCCGTCATATACAACTAAAATAGTTGAATATACGGAAACTATTGTTGTGAGCAACACTGTAAGACCGTTATTTTGTCATTGCGTTTCTTTTTACTGAACCTCAAAGTGGATGGTTGGCGAGTGCTCTGATGTGGTTTGCTTTACTTTTTTTTTTTTTTTTTTTTTTACAAAAAAACATCTATCTTCCCTATCTCTCCTCCTTTTTTTGAGTGTGTAACTCTCTTGTCACACCTCTAATCTTTTTCATTTATATGACATAATTGTGCTGCAAGTGCCCTAAAACTTGTACTAAAATGAAATGTAAAACTCAAATCTGAAACACTGCAGGAAAAGCTTGAGATGAGAGCACACTCACACTATGGCAAGGACGTCAGTTTCCTCAGCTATCTTCTCTACAAGATCAGGGAGGAGCGACTGCCCTCAGCTAAGAAACTCCCCCCGATTAAATCAACCAAACAGTTGCCTCCAAAGGAAATACAGGCGAGTGCATGTTGATAATCTGTATTCTTTTTATATAGGTATTTTACGTCCCAACAAACACAAGTCATATCATTTAGAAGGCGGGCTTCAGACTGTCACGGTCAGCCAGGGCCTCGGACTCAGAGGGACACAACACCACTGCAGAAAGACTGAGATAATAAAAGAAAAAAAATTCCTACCACTTGGGAGTTGAACTCAGATATCCTGTTTGCAACAGCAAAGCAAACCGCCTTGACTCCACGCCACAGACGCCTGATCATCATATTAATCTAGCTCTTAGTACATGAAACTTTCAAACTCCTTCGTATTCATTGGCCCCTGTCATATTAATATACATGAACAATTCTCTACAGTACGGACGGCATGAAAACATTGTGTTTGTATGAAATAGACAGAAAATAACCAAAGTTTCCTTTTCTACTTCCCTTTCGCATTTCCATTAGTCAAAAATTTGCTTTTAAGTATTTTTAACCAACGTTCTGAAATCCAGATTCCTTGCCATAAACATCTATTAGTATTGAGACAAAGGCACAGGGCCTCGAGTGAAGGTTGCTGGCACCTTGGAAACAGCCGCAAAGCAATAACACAGACGACTGATAAATTGGAAAACAGGCAATTACTTTTTTTTTAACGTGTTCGTTGGGAATGCGTAGTGTGACTTTTACATAGTAAAGGTCTGGTTTTTTAAAAGTGTGACAATCAATTTAAACACAAGCACAGACATCAACTCGCCTACCAACATACACCGCCCCCCC